ATAAATGAAAACCAGCATGGGTTCATGGAAGGCAAATCCTGTGTCACAAACCTCCTGGAGTTTTATGACAAGGTAACAGAAGTAAGACACGAGAGAGAGGGGTGGGTTGATTGCGTTTTCCTAGACTGCAGGAAGGCCTTTGACACAGTTCCCCACAAGAGATTAGTGCAGAAGCTGGAGGATCAGGCGCATATAACAGGGAGGGCACTGCAATGGATCAGGGAATACCTGACAGGGAGGCAGCAACGAGTCATGGTACGTGAAGAGGTATCACAGTGGGCGCCTGTGACGAGCGGGGTCCCACAGGGGTCAGTTCTAGGACCAGTGCTATTTTTGATATATGCAAACGACATGATGGAAGGAATAGACTCTGAAGTATCCCTATTCGCAGATGATGTGAAGTTGATGAGAAGAATTAAATCGGATGAGGATGAGGCAGGACTGCAAAGAGACTTGGACAGGCTGAACATGTGGTCTAGACACTGGCTTCTCGAATTCAATCATGCCAAATGCAAAGTCATGAAGATTGGGGAGGGGCAAAGAAGACTGCAGACAGAGTATAGGCTAGGTGGACAAAGACTACAAACCTCACTCAGGGAGAAAGACCTTGGGGTGACCATAACACCGAGCACGTCACCGGAGGCACACATCAACCAAATAACTGCTGCAGCATACGGGCGCCTGGCAAACCTGAGAATAGCGTTCTGATACCTTAATAAGGAATCATTCAAGACACTGTACACTGTGTATGTTAGGCCCATACTGGAGTATGCAGCACCAATCTGGAACCCACACCTGGTCAAGCACGCCAAGAAGTTAGAGAAAGTACAAAGGTTTGCAACAAGGCTAGTCCCAGAGCTCAGGGGAATGTCGTATGAGGAAAGGTTGAGGGAAATTGGACTGACGACACTGGAGGACAGAAGGGTCAGGGGAGACATGATAACGACATACAAGATACTGCGGGGAATAGACAAGGTGGACAGAGATAGGATGTTCCAGAGAGGGGACACAGAAACAAGGGGTCACAATTGGAAGCTGAAGACTCAGACGAGGCACAGGGACGTTAGGAAGTATTTCTTCAGTCATAGAGTCATCAGGAAGTGGAAAAGCCTAGCTAGTGAAGTAGTGGAGGCAGGAACCTACATAGTTTTAAGAAGGGTTGACAAAGTCAGGAAGCAGGGGGGAGAGGACCTTAGCGTCAGTGAGAGACGGGGTCAGGAGGAGTACGACCCTGCAACCCAAAATTTAGGTGAGTACAATTAGGTGAGTAGGGATACCACACACATACACACACACACACACACACTCAGGGAGGAGTCAGGGGTTTGGCTGGTTTTGGTGATTTTTCTGACTGTGCCATAAAAAATGAGTGGGGAAAATTAGGTGTGTGCAGCTAAGAGTGATTAATCACTTAACCCCCAAAAAAAAAGGAAAATAAATGATCACAGAAAAAAAAACAAAGGAAATAGTGGTGAGTGTTGTAGGGGCCGTTGAAGGGTGAAGGGTTTTGGGTTCGGGCCCTAAATAGTTTGCCTAATAACGCAGGGGGGTATTTGAAAAATAAGTGCGACCAAGACCAGGGAAAAAAAGAGATATGTATAGAGGTCAGTAAAATACGTGAGTGAATGAAAAAAATTAAAAGAGTAGAGACTATAGTGCATACGGGAAAGTTAGGGGAAAAAAATTACCGAGAAGCTCAAACACAACTTCGGGGCAGGCAGACCCTCAACGTTACTCCACTGCCGGCCGCAAGTAATATTCACTAGTTTGATTTGCATGGGGTAAATGTACTGTTCCAGCTGGAATTGGGGGTCACTCCCCTCGAGCTATCAAAATTAGAACAAGCAGCTTTAAATAGAATTTGAGGTAGCGGAATGGCGAAGCCTAGTGTATTTATTTTTGAATTTTTTTTTTAAAAACTCTAAGACTACGGGGGAAACCCAAGAGATCGGGTACATATCAATGATGTAGTCATACGTGGGAAATAAGGACGTTTAATAAACATATGTACAACACTTGGTGAAAATAGCTTGATTTTAGGACTTAAAAGGCTGTAGCACACCACACCCCCCACACACACAACACCATACACAACAACAGACACAAATGCACACACACATGCACACACACATGCACCACATCACAAATGCACACACACACCACACACAACCACACACACACACACAACCCCACAACCCCACACAACATGCAACATTACAGGATTTACCCCTTCCTGTGAAGTGCCCTCAAACCCCTTTTCCCCCCATCTCTCTCCCTCTCCTCCCTCTCCCCTCTCTTCTCTCTCTCTCTCTTCTCTGTCTCTCCTCTCTCTTGCTCTCTCTCCCTTTTTTCATTCTCTTTCTTCCTCCTTCCTCTCACTCTTTTTCCCTTCTCTCTCCTCCCCTTCTTTTTCCCTCTCTTACTCTTTTCCTTCCTCTTCTTTTCTTTCTCTCTCCCCTTTTCCCCTTGTCACTCCCCCCTCTTCTTCCCTTTTCCCTCT